AAGAAATATTTTAATGGTTTATAAGAAAAATGAAATTTAAGTTAGTTTTAATGAGAGCAATGAAATAATGAGAAAATAGAATAATAAAAAATTAAATAAAAGATTTTTTTAATTTTTGTTTTTCAAAAATTAATTGTGTTTTTTTGTTCAATGAATTTTTTGTCAGTTCTATATTTAAATAAGAATTTGTTTTTTATCTTTCTTGTTTATCAGTTTTCTATTTTCTTTTTATAACCAATCTGATGATACGAAGAAGAAACTAAAACAAATTAAATTAATGGAGTAGAATAGATGCAATCAAAAATAAAATGACTGTCAATAGGAATATAATAATAACTACAAACCAAAAACTTTGGTTTGATTGGGTGTGAGTAATTTTCTTTTCTAAATGATTTGGTGACTGTGTAATTTTAATTATATCCTCAGACCGTTTTTCAAACTTTTCGAGGTCCTTTTGAATTTGACTAACTGAAAAATTTTTTGGACGGATGGTAGTGGTATTAAATGAAGTTGGTTGTTCATTTGAAAGAGGTAACTGAGATTGAGATTGAGTGTTTTTAAGATTTTCTGAAATTTCTTTCTTTTCAGTGATTATGTTTGTTTGTGTCTTTTTAATTTTTCTAATAACATCCGCAGAAGCATCGAAATCATCATCCCAAGGAATCATTTCAACATCTTCTATCATTCCATCTTTTGTATAAACAAGACAACGAGCAGCAAGAACTTTACTTCCAACTGTTTTTTGTTTTAATTCAATTTCAGCTTTTTCATGTTCTTCCTTTTCAGCAATTAATTCGTTTTGAAGTTTTTGTTCATTTGCCAAGCACTCTTGTAAATCTCGTTTAAGTAATTCTATCTTATCGTCTGCATTCTTACCAACTTCTTCGAAACGATTTTTATCTTTAAGAGCCTTGTTATAAAGATCTATAACTGTTCTTAGTTTTTCAATAGCCTCATCAATCTCGTATTGGATGTTTTTAGGTGATGTGATACTGTCATCTTCACTTACAGTAGTGCTCATCGCTTTCTTTTATTCAAGATATGACTTAATTTAATTTCTCTTTAAGGTTTTCACTTTTCATTTATTTAAGTTAAATAATCAATAATATTTAGACAGATTCTTAATGTATTCTTTCTAGATTTTATGTAAGTTTTTCTTAGAGAAATATAATGTAAGTTTACAATAAATATAAATAATTAAATTTACTATCAAATACTGTAAAGAAGTTTATTAACGTAATATTATATATAGTTTGTATATATTATAATGAAAATTATAAAAGTAGGCTTTTAAATAACAAAATATTACAAAATTCTAAAGTTAAGACGTTTTTGAAAATAATAACATTACATTCTCACGTTATATTAGACAAAGATCTTAGTTATAAGCATAATGTCTTACAAAAAGAAAACAACAACTGCAAAAGAGTGTCATATACCACCTCAAACACCTCACCAACTTTTTATTGCAGAAATTACACAAAAACAAAAAGAGATGGGAATCATCAAAGAAGAAAAAAGCTGTGAAATTCCAATTGAAAAGAAAGGATTTAAGAAGGAAGAAATCTTTGAAGAAAAACAATTAAAACCAAAGGAAAAACCAGATAAAAGAAGTTTACCACGTTCACACATAGAATTATTGAAAGAAATAAATAAAAGTCTCCCTTCTAAAGATCAAATATCAGACCCTAAAGTAAAAAGAAAAAGATCAGAACCTGATGCTGTTTCACTTAAAGCTGATTTAAAAAAATCTACACCTATTCAATACTCAGAACAATTTCATACTTCAACAACTTGGCAATCTCCTGTACATACTCCTAAGGGTCGTCCTATTTCTATTATCTCCTCTCCTTTATCTCTTCCTTCAACACCAATTGCTGATAAAGGAATAGTTACGGATAAACAAAGTCCTTCTTTTGCTTCAAGACAACTTAGTAAACGTCAATGTATGACACAATCCTTTATGGAAGAGCCAAAGTATGATGAACAATTCTCTCTATTAGGAAAGATTGAACAACTCGAAAGTATTCTTCGTAAGTTAAAAGAAGTTTCTTCTAAACAACAACAAACAATCGAAATTTTAAAAAAACAATTGTCTTTGTCACAATAAACTGAGCTTTCTTTTTTCTTTCCTCCTCAAAAATAGCTCTATGTTTTTAAATACACATTTTTGTTATTTATATCATTTTTAATTTTGTCTATTTCAAAACATCTGGAAAAAAACAAGTTTATGGAGAAGAGAAAGACACAAAAAAGTGCTTCAGTTATTGAAGCTGAAAAAAAGGTAAGTTATGAAGGAACAAGTAAACGCCAAGCAATAAATAATTCAGAAATGGCATCAACAGAGACAACAGATAAAATAAAAAATCAAATAGGAAGTGTCTCTTCCTCAAAAAAGAAAAAATTATATACAACTGATTATCCAGACAATCAAAAACCAGAAGAAAAAGAAGAGATTGATTCAGTTGTTGCATCTATCAAAGAAGATATTAAAGAAAGTGAAATAAAAATTATGAAAATGCAAAACCGTAAAAATGTTGTTAAACCAAAAGGAAAAAAACCAAATACAAAACAAAAAAGTGATAAACGTGATGAAGCGGTTCAACAAAATATAGAAAAAGCAGAATCAGAAGAAATTACTAAAAGTGATACACAAGTTATAATTAATGAAGAAAAAAAACGTTCTGAAATAAATCTTTCTGAAGAACAAGTTAATGAAAAAATTGTTTCACAAGAGATTGGAGTCAAAGAGACACAAGAAGAACACAATCAAAATAATTTCATTAACTCTCATGAAGAAAGATTAATAGAGAATGAGAAAGATATTGAAAATACAAAAGAGCTTCAAAAACTAGATGAAGAAATTAATAGAATCAAGAAAGAAAACGAAGCTAAGAGAAAAAGAATTTATGAGATGAAAGAGGCACAAAAAACACAAAGAGATAATGCAAATGACGTAGAAAAAAGAAGAGATAATACTGAATTAAGAATTAAGGAGATATTGAAGAATGTAAATGATAAACAAGAAAAAATTGAAAGAGTATTAAATGAAATTAAAACAATTTGTTATAAAGAACGAATTGTTATAAATAAAGAAATTAGTTCTATTGAAGAAATTGAAATAGGTATTGAAGAACAAAACAAAGAAAATGAACAAATGGTTGAAAATATGAAAAGGTTAGAAGACTATTTTGTCCAACAAACAAATGAGTTTAAGAAGATAATAGCAGAAGAGAGTAAAAAAAGGCAAGAAGAACAAAAGAAAGAAGAAACAATGAAACACCAATTAAATGAGTTAAAATACAATAAAGAAATTGGAATTTTGAAAGAGAAAGAGTTAATGCAACAAAATGATGATAAACAAAGTGATAAAGATGATTTAATGAAAGAAATTCAAGGATTACAAGAAAAATTAAATACTAAAAAAAAAGAAGGAATTGTTATAAGAAATGAAGAAGAAAAGAAAATAAAGGAATGTATTGATATGGAAAAAGAAATTAAAGAATTACAAGAAAGTCATTTGAGAATAGAAGAACAATGCAAAGTATTAAAATCATATGTGGATAAATTTAATGATAAAAAATGGCTTTGTTTAATGAAAGAAGAAGAACAAATCGAGCTATTAGCTACTATTGTTGTTCAATATAAATTAAGTCATCAACAAGTATATGAAAAATCAGTTATTCAAATATTTGATGAAATAGTTTCAAAAAAGGTTCCAATAAATGAATGGAAAAGTTATGTTGTTGGTGCATTAAACAATTAGTAGTTTCTTTATGTCTAATCCTTGTTGGTTGGTTAGGACTTTTCCAATGAACACCAAATTTCCGAAAACTTAAAATCTTCTTTTTTCAGTGTTTCTAATTTAATACTCTTTACAAAAAAATTTTCACAATTCTGTCTTAAAGGAAAAGTAAGAACTAATAAATCCAAATATCATGTTGATCAGCAAAGAATTGCTTCATAAAATTCATGTTTTGTGTGGAATGCTTCTTTTTGGTACAGGGAGTTCAGTTACAATGAAAGTTTGTTAATTCTTTTTTTTTATACTTAATTGGGTATAAAAGTTATTAGTTTTTCATTTAGATTTGATTAGTAATCTCAAAATTGGTATTTAAAAGAATTATATAAGAAGGAAAAAATTGGAAAAAAGAAATTAATTAAAATAGCTTCAATTAGATGTAGAATGTGTTGGATATAATGGAATTCCTCATACATTTGACAAACCTATTTTCCAATCAATTGTTATGTTCTTTTCAATGTCATTATGTTTTTTCATTGAAAAGTTGATTGAATTATTTAAAAGAAGATCCAACAAAGAAGCTGCTTATACTCAATTAGAAGATGGAGAAAAAGTGCCTGAAAAACAAGCTTCTGTATTCCTTATTCTTATTCCAACAACCTTTGATTTGATTGCATCAACTCTTATGACATTTGGTTTAATTTATACCCCAGCTAGTGTATTCCAAATGCTTAGAGGTTCAATGATCATTTTTTCATCATTCCTTTCAAGAATTTTCATTGGAAAGAAAATACGATATGGACAATTGATTGGTATATTTATTAGTGTAATTGCTCTTGTGTTAGTTGGAGTATCTGCAATTCGTACACCATCAACTGGATTAAACGAAACAACTGGATTCCAAACAGCAATGGGTATTCTTATGATTTTAATTGCCCAATTTATCCAAGCTGGACAAATTGTTGCTGAAGAATTTTTCATGAAGAATTTAACTCTTCCACCATTAAAGATTGTTGCATTTGAAGGTATTTTTGGTCTTATAGAAACTGTTTTTATTGCTTGTCCATTTGGATATTTCGTACCAGGTAGTGATTACAGCACAATGCAACACAATTCTTTTGAAAACACATACGATTCTTTTGTTTGTTTATTCAATAGTACATCAATTATTATTATTACTATTATTTTTGCTATTGCTGTTCTTGGACTTAATGCCTATGGTATGATGGTCACTAACGCTTTCAATGCTGTTAACAGAACTCTCTTTGAAAGTGCAAGAACTGCCTGTGTTTGGCTTGTAATGATTATTATAGAATTCTGTTGGGCTGGACATGGTGAGAAACTTTCATGGTGGTCATTATTAGAACTTGCTGGATTTGTGATTTTGTTCTTTGCTACATTGGTTTATAACAGAGTGGTTAAAATCCCATTCATTGAACCATTAGACCAGAAAATCGATGCAGAAGAAAATGATAAACTTGTGAAAGAAAATTGATTTTTTCTAAATTTTCCAAAAAGTTTTTTCATTTTAATATTTTCTATTTAAATTTCTTCATAATAATTATTGAGATAATTAGAGAGTATATATAACTTTGACTCTCATCAACCATCATAAAAATGATTAACGAGAGTTTAATTTAATTGCCTAGTAAATACATAAATTATTTAAATTGATTATTTTTTTTTACTTTAAATAACAAAGACAATATATTATAGTTAAAATATAGAGAATGTTTACATTAATATATTTTTCTAATCAGCAGATAATGAAAATAACAATTAAAATAAAGATTTTAAGATTCTTTGATTAGTTTTTGTCAAAAAAAAATTTTAATTAAAATTCATCGCAACAAAAAGCACAAAATCCAAATGCAGCTACTAACGTGAAAATACCTGTTACAATATACCACCCCATCATTCCTGAACCTACAATTAACATAGACCCAATAACTTTTACAGAGTGTTTTGCTGGAGTGACAGCAACTTCATTACAATCATCTGAACATTGTTGTAGTTGACCCATTTCATCTGTGTATGTACATTCTGAACAATTAAATACATCCAAACAACATCTATTCTGTTTTTCAAAACATAATTTTTTTTCTCTGTCTAATTCATTAATATTTACTGATAATCCTTTGGCAAGTACAATGATACCAATGACAAAGAACGCCAATGAACCACAACTTGTAAATATCCCAAGAATAAAGTCTAATAACCCAACAACTGGAATGAAAGAAAAGACTGCAATCCCAAAAGACACACTAACAAAAATTATATTTAGTAGTCCAAAATAATAACCTGATTCATATGAAAATTTCCATCCTTCAAGCACACCTTTTGTATCACATGTTGTTAATGTTTCAAGATCTTTACTATACACATATGATGGAATAGCAAATGCTAATACAAGTCCTGCAACAACAAGTGCTATGAGAATTGATAATAAACAACTAATGATAGTGATTCCAATAGCTTTTCCACAACTCATTAATCTTCAGTATGAAAATAAAATTTAAAAAAAATTATAGAAATTTAGAGTTTCTATTTTTTTTTTTTTTCATATCTTCTTTTAATCTCCATTTTTGTTTTAAGGAAATAAATTTGTTTTTATTTAAAAAAAATAATTTCTTGTGTCTCATTGTACGAACAAATATTCAATTCACTGACTTTGTATAAAATGTTAATTTATACGACCACCAAAAGGGCCATCAAACTGAGGTGTAACAAATTTCTTAGTTGACTTATTGATTTCTGTAAATTGTCCTTTTCTTTTCGAGGATTTATAATATGATTCTTGTTCCCACTTGATACCATAATAAGAAAATCCCTATTTTTTCATTAATCAAAAGTTGTTTGAGATATAAAAGAATGAAATAACAAACATATGATTCAAATCCATCATGTTGATACATTGAAATTAAATATTCAATTGTATCATAAGGTTGGAAATAATACCCACAATGTTCTGAATTTTTAATTGTAGTGTCCATTTCAAATAGTTGTGCAATAAAGTCCCACGACGTAATTTGGGTATGTACTTCGGTAATTGTTTCTTTCATTTTACCTTCTACCCATCTTGCTAGATAAACAATAAGTCCATCTCCCATCTCTCTAGTTTTGCATACCCCACGTTTAAAAGTGACATTAAACCATTCCATAGATAGTGCATATCTATAATCTTTATTAGTACCACATTCCTCAAATCCAAGGTTTTTGGCATAATCATTACCTAAATCATTCTTACATTTAAGTATTGTTGCTCCATAAAATATTTTTCCATCACTCACTTTACGTAGTTTATCATTTGAACAATTCATAAAACTATTTCCTCTTTTAATACATTCTACATCAAGTGGATAATATCTACTTGGATGAATACTTAATGGACAAATCGTGTCTTCATTTAATAAAGAATGGTTTTGAAGAAAATATCCTAATGTATGACCATGCTCTCCATAACTATTTTTTAGTATTAGTCCACCTTTTGTCCACCGATCTACTGGTATTTCAATATTATTTTTTATTAGTTTTGTTTGTGCTTTATTGTCAATAGCATTCCATGCTGTAGTGTATATTGGAGGAGATGAATATCTATTTCTTTCAACAGGAAATTCATCATTCCATCCAACTACAAGCATTGAATGTCCAGCTCTTCTTACACTTCCAACTGAGAGATCAATCATACCATCTTTATGATACATTGATGATGATATTTTTGTACAACATCCTGAACCGCAAGGAGTTTTACAATATTTACATTCATCAGATGAATACATTGAATTATATTTATTACAAGGAAAAAGCATTGTATTAAATTCAGTATTTAAACCATAAGTTAAAGGAGAAAGTGTTTTCATCATTAATTTTTTTATATCAGAAATAGAATAAACAGTAACAATATCTCTAATTGTAAATTTAATTGGATTATTTTCTACATATTCATTTAAACTTTTATCTTTAGGAATACATTTACTTTCATTTATTCCTCTTTGATGTTGATAAGGACAAATTGAATAAGGAAGAATATATTTTGTTGTTACATTTCTAAGATAATACAATGAATCAACATTAAAATTACTTGTAGAATTTTCAAGCATTCCTCCATATCTACATAATGGAATTTCTCTATGACTTGAACAATAATTAACAATCAATGACATATATGCTTGCTCAGAAAATTGTATAACTTCATCTGATGAAAGATATCCTGAACGTATTCCATTTGCTCTATAATCACTCTCAAGAAATCCAATAGCAGCAAAAGCCCAACATGTCCCTCTTGAAAATTGATTCTTTACTGGGGTTAGTGCTTCTAATGGAACACTCCATTGTTTTGGTCTTTCAATTGGTTGAACATTAATTACTTTTACTTCCATTGTTCCAGAACGAAACCCAAGCATAATTAAACTACACACAACAACAGCAAATACAAGAAATTGAAATGACCATAAAATAATCCACAATGTCCATAGATTTTGGGTTGTTTCTTTCCCCATAAATAAAAAATAAATCTTTAAAACTATTTTTTTTTTAAGTTTTTTCAATAAAAAAAAAATAAAATTAGAAATCGTTTAAATCGAAAATTATTAATAAATTATTAATAGCTTTTTTAAATTTTGGTAGTATTATAACATTTTTTTCATATTCATCTTTGTTCTGAATCATAAATAAATGTAATTTATTGTCTTTAAAATATAAACAAAACGGATATTACATACTTGTATCTCTATTTATATCATTCTATCAAATGAAAAAAATCAAACAAAAAGATCTTAAAATTAAAAGTAATGTCTGCATTTACTAAATGGACGACATCAGAACTCCTTGTATTATTTGAAGCTATTCAATATTGTCAACGTACGAATCAAGATGACTGGGAATATGTTTCAGATTTAGTTAAAAGAACAATGAGTGAAACAGGAATGACAATGAATGAAAAATATAATAAATATGGATGTGCTTCTCAGTATAACGAATTTGAAATACAATATCGTGAACTTGCTACTGATAAAAGTATTGTTGATTTTGCAGTTAATTTCCTAAGAGAAAAACGTGTTGCTGAATTAGAAAAAGAAATTAGAGAAAGAGAAGCTCATATTAATGAATTAAAGTCTCACCTTGCTTAATTATTTTTTTACTTAAATAAACTTTTCATTTCTTTTTTATTTTTTAATCTTACTCATTAATCTTTCTTTCAAAGACAGTCTAAACAAAACTATTTTAGTTATAAAAAAAAAATAAAAAAAAAATATGGTTTATGAAAAAAATCTCTTCGACAATTCAATATTTTTTAAAGAGTCTTAAGCAAATGAATTGGTTTTGAATAATCTTTCTCTTTGAACACATAAGAACCTGCTACAAATGAAGTTGCTCCAGCGTCTTTTGCAATTCTTACTGTTTTATCTGAAATTCCTCCATCTACTTGAATATCTTTTGATGGCCATTTTTCTCTTACTTCTTTTACTTTTGGCATCATGTCTTGCATAAATGATTGACCACCAAATCCAGGTTCAACAGTCATAATAAGAACACGATCAACTTTATCGATAATATCTTCAATTACTTTGACTTGTGTTTTTGGTTTAATAGAAATACCTACTTTAACTCCTTTACTGTGAACCATGTCAATAATTTCTTTTGCTTCATCAATGGAACTAACTGCTTCAATATGGAATGTTACAAGAGAGGCGCCAGCATTAACATAATCCATAACCCATCGCTTTGGATTTTCAATCATTAAATGACAATCAAGAAATGCTTTTGGAATTGCATTATGAAGACATTTTACAATTGGTGCACCAAGAGTTAGGTTTGGAACAAAATGTCCATCCATAACATCCACATGTAATTCATCTGCACCAGCTTGTAATACTGCATTGGCTTCATCAGCCATATGAGAAAAGTCACAGGAAAGTAAAGATGGGCAAATAATTGATGACATTTTTAATTTAATTTCATTTAGTTCATTTAATAAGTAGTTTGACTTACTGACATCCACAAGATGAAAAGAAAATCACAGAACAATCTGATTTGTTCCACATCAATTTTTTTTTTCATTAATAAACAAGATAATAATATTTTATAAAAACACAAAACTAAAACAAGAAAGTTAATTAAAAGATGGGTTGAGTATTACCATTAACAAAAGAATAACAACATAACTGACAATGATACTTAAATTGTTTATAAGAATTGGGATATCCACAGGATTAACTTTATATTCAACACTGTAAATTGTATCAATTAAAGGAGGTGGAGTTAATGGAGAAACTAACATAACAAAACGAGCTACATCCCCAATAAATGGTTTACAAGAAAAATATATTGTCAAACCATAAATTAATCCATATATTGTTCTATATAAAACAACACGAACACTTGGCCAAAGATATTTTAATGGAATATGCCATTCAAAGAATATTCCTAAAACAGTATAAGACAATAATGTATTTGCATTAGCTCCAACATCAATACAAGCTATAATAAAATGAGGAACTTTTATATGAGATAAACCACAAATATATCCTAAAACTAATGCATATAATGGAATACAGGTAAAAATTGCACGTAATGTTTCTTTTAAAATTTTTTGAGTTTCTTCATTAAATATTTTTTTTAAGAAGGAATAATGATCAGATTGGTTTTCAGCAGTAGTTATTACTTTATTATCATTAAGTTCAATAATTTTATATTGTTGTGTTTCATTTGTAAGTTCTGGTAATTGAGGAAGATCTATTTTTATTTCAGTCATTGGTTCTTCTTGTGTAGAAATTAAATTCTTTTTCTTTTCATCTGTTTCAAAAGCATCATTTCCTTTATTTTGAGAAATTCCTAATATTGCGTATAATGGTCTTAATACTGCATAACAACAAAAATCATTTGCTACACAAAATAAAATTGTTTTACTAATTCCGTCATCAGCAACAGAGCTCATCACAGGAAATATAAATAATGCAGTATTTAATGCAAAAGAATTGAAAATAGATAATTTTTTAATTGTTTTGTCTTTAACAAACCAAAAAACAAAAATAGAAATTATTCCACCACATAACTGAAAAATAATTCCTCCAATAAACAAATATAATGAATCTAAATCTAATGTTTTGTTATTATAAAGATTTCTAAATATTATACAAGGTAATGCTAAATTAAATAACACTTTCATTAATAATGGACTATTTTTTCGAATGTCTATTCTAAAAAAACATAATTTCAAAATAAATGCTAGAGTTATCACAACTAACATGACTCCAAATGTTTCATAATATTGAACCATGGTTTTATTTCTTTATTACAATTATTTTTATCTAATTTTTAGTGATTATTTCTCATCTCTTTTTTAGGGTTATTAAATGAACTATTTTTTAAACAATTAGAATATTTTGGTTTCAGATTATTATTTCTTTTTCATTTCAAATAATGACATTTTGTTTTTTTTTTATTTTCAATAATTTTATTTTTAAAATATATCTATCAAAGATTCATTAATTTCCATTTTTGTCTTTCAATTTTGATTAAAATTGATGTTTTTGTAATTTCATAACAAGAGATTATTTTTTATTTTTGTTTCTTTTATAGAACTCATTATTTAATCAATTGAACTAATTTGTAGTAAATATTCAATGCTCATAAATTCAAAAATGACATTACTTCTTTTTAATTCATTTAATATAAAAAAAAATGAACTCTTTAATGTCAACTAATTTTCTATGTTAAAACTTACTTATATCCATTTATCATTATATGAAAAAAATTAATATAAAAATTTAGAAAGGAGATTCTATTTAATTCTTCAATGACTCAAAAAAGATTCTTTTCAGAAATTATTAATATAATAAGAATAATGAAAATGAATAGTAAAAAGATTGAAGAATAAATTAAACTTCAATCAACATTAATGAAATGATGAGTTTAACATCAAAGAAAATTAAATAAAAATTAACTTTAAGAATCTTAAAATTGAATAAGAGTAAAGGACACTATGGAAGATTTCATTTTGTCCGAAAATCCTAAGTTACAATCTCACAAGGAATCATTAATATCATTAGAATCATCTTCATACTTCTCTTCTAATACTATTGAGAAAACTAGGGAAAATTCAAGTGATGAAAACGAAACTTCAGATACATCATATGAATCTGAACAACAACCATTAACACCTTACAACTTACGATTTTTTAAAAATTTTTATTGGTTTGAAAAAGTAGCTCGGATTAATGAATGGCTTGAGGTTTCTCCAGATTTGCTTTCTTATCCATATCCATATTACTTTCCACAATAATTTTCTTGTTATTCTTTCAGAAAGATTTTAGTACAAAGGAAATGAAAAAGTAATTTATTTATTCTTATTTTGTTGTCATATTCATCTTTTCTTATTATTTCATTAGATTCTATCAGGGTTCTCTAAAGTCATATAAACAAAATTTCGTTTTGAGAAAAATAATTAAAAAAATCTCAAAAAAGAGAAAAGGAAAAACAAATGGGTGATTTTTTAGAAGGAGAACATTGTTGGTGTCGTTTTCAAATAGGGAATGGTGAAATCCCTTGGCCATCTATCATTAAAAAAATTTATGACCAACGAACAGTTATAGTCCAAGTATTTGGAACTCCGAAATTGTTTGTCATTATTATTGTCAAAATGAAGAAAAAAGACACCAAAACATGAAAATTTAAGTATAACAAATGAAAAGAATATAATGGAAAAGTGTCAGTCTATTTTGGTAAAATTCAAACAAATAATGTATATTTACAATATAGGATCAAAACAAAAATTGAGTGGTTAGAACATGGATATAAATTATCACCAAGAAAAGTTATGGAAATAGCATCAAAAATGTCTTTAGAAAAAGAAAAAATTACTGTGTTATATGATGGACTAACTCAATTTAAAGAGGGTTTGTATTATTCTTTTTGTATAGATGTACAATAAGTATTTATTCATTAAGTAGGTGAAAGAATTGCTGACATACAAATTCCCTTAGAAATGGAAAACTTTTGGGTTCAACAAACACTTGAATTAATTTAAACATATATTTTATTGTAATTCTTTTAGTTGTTTGGGTCAAAACGAAAATGATAAGACAGACAAAATAACAAAATTATTAGTAGATATTCTATAAATAAAATAGATAGAAGCAACTAAACGAAATAATAAGATTGTACTCAAAAAGTTATTTTAATGGAAACAAGAAGTTTTAACAGTATTGTTGTTGAAGGAGATATTATTGATGGTAAATATAATGGTGAAGTTAAAATATATCAAAAAGAAAATAAACAAGAGATTTATTATACTATGAAAAGTGGAATGGTTTTAGTAATAAATCAAATTCCAAGTGTTGAAGAACATATATTTGAATTATTTTCTTTTCCTCATTCATATGAAATAGAACAAATAGTAAATGAATACCAATTTATTTTTTCAAAATTAAACATCTTTGAAGATGTTATTGTTAGTGCTGAAAGTATTAAAGAAATTCTTGAAACAAGTGAAAAATTTGAAGAACTTACACTTTTAATTGAAATAATATCTAAGCCAATTTCACTTCCAATTAATATTAGTTTTTTAAATACAAAAACAGGAGAATTACAAAATTTGATTGAAATTATAAGTTATTCAAGTCTTTTTGAAAGAATTATAAAGGATTTATGTTTTGGTAATTATTTATATTTAATTTTATGTAAACAATGTTTAGAACAATGTTTATTATTTCCAATGAATAAAGAAATTGGAATGGTTCTTGGTGAATTATTAAAAAATATAGAAAATAAATGTTCAGAAGAAAATAAAAGAAGTATATCATTAGCAATTCAAGTTTTATGTTCTAAATGTCAAATAAAAACATTAGAACAATATACATTATTAAAAAGAATAACAATTATAAAAAGTTTTTGGAGAAACATTAAAGAAAATGAAAAAGAAGGATTTATAAGAAAACAAATAAAAGAAATTGGATTTATGATATGTCGATATAATGAAATTATTCAAAGTCCTAAAAAGGTAATGATAGAAACGTGGAAATATATTTGTAATTTAGTCAAAACAAATGATAATATAATTAATATTATTAAACCATTATTTATAACTATTATAGCATCATATAGTAAAGACTATATTGAACATATTGGATTGATTCTAGATATTTGTAAAAATTATATTGAATTAAATTGTGTTGGAAATAATAGTGAATGTGATGGTTATATATTAACTATAATTCAAGAATGTAAAATGATATTAATTGATCAAACAAAATCAGTTGATGATGTTATAAATAATAATATTAAAAATATTTGGAATAATGAAATATCAATTGAATATTTCAAAAGTATAGAAATAATTGAAAAATTATTAAATAATAAAATACCTTCATGTAATTATCAAATGAAAGATTATGAAATTATTCCTATAAATTCAATAAATGTAGTGGAATCAATTTCAAAAGGAAACATTGATTTATTTCATTTTATTATTACAAGTTCTAGTTCAATACTAAAAGAATATTTAACTCATTTTTTCCAATATATTCATTTTCCTTGGGAAAGAAATATTGAAAATATTGAAAATAATCAAAGTTTCCATCTCACAGAAAAAACAACAAGATGTCTTTTATTTTATTTAATGTATTTCCTTGGACATTCACAAATGTTTGATGGAAATGAATCATTTCAAAAACTCTTTCTAAAATTTATTAAAAATTTAATTGAAAGAGATGACATTAAAATGATTACATTAAATCAAAACAATAAAGAAAATGCAATGATTCTAAAGAGATATTTTAAAATAACAAAAGATATTCAATGTAGTTTATATTATTTTCATTCAGTATTATTAAATAATATTAATAATATTAACTTTATAAAAAATGAATTAATTGGTATTTATGAACAATATCTTCATTCTCAAAATGAACAATTAAATGAAATGATGATTATTAATAAACAACATATCTCTGAATTATTTAAACATTTAAATGATAAAAAAGAATTAGAAAATTGTGCATTGAAATTTCTTGGAGAAATTTGTGTAAAAACACAAGATACTTCAATAATTCAAACAGAACAAAATGAAAAATATATAAAAAAATTAATTTTTAAATCAAGAAATAATTTAATAAAATATTTTAATAAAATTGATGAAAATGAATTATTAATTGGTAAAGAATTAGGAAGAGGTGTTTATGCAACTGTTAAGTCTGGATATTATAAAGGAAATAAAGTTGCAATTAAAATCTTTAATGAAAATTCATATCAATTCAGAAGTGAAGACTTTCTTCAAGAAATAGCTATTATGAGTTTGTTACATCATGAAAATATTATTAAAACATATGGTGCTACAGTTAATATGAAATTAAATGAAGAATCAACATTTTATATTATTAATGAATTGGCAATAAATGGAAATTTAGAAGAGTTAATTACTAAAAAGTCTATTCATGAAGAAAATAAACTAAAAATGATTTTAGAAATTGCTAAAGGATTAAAATATCTTCATGAATTGAAAATAATTCATAGAGATCTTAAACCTGCAAATATTTTAATAGGAAATAATTTCACTATTAAAATATCTGACTTTGGTCTTTCTGCTTTTGTTAATGAAAAAAAATTAGACGTTATTTTAGGCTCTTATAAATGGATGTCTCCAGAACGCTTTTTAAAGAAAAAATATGGTAAACCAGCTGATGTCTATGCTTTTAGTATTATCTCATGGCAAATACTTGAATTGGATGAACCATTTCAACAATACGTTTCCATTGAGGATTTACAAAATGCAATTTGCTTTTTAAATGAAAGACCTCCATTAACAAATATCTCAATTGATATGAAGAAGTTATTAGTCCATTGTTGGAATAAAAACCCAAACAAAAGACCAAATTTTGTTTCAATAATTAAAGAATTATTAATCAATTCAATTGACTAATTACATTCTCTCTTGAAAATAATTTTATTTTTCTTTCTAGTTTTAATATTAATTATACTACAACATACATTATTAATCATTAATGTGTTTCTCTTCTTTTTGCAAGAACATCCAAGAAATACAATGGGATAAACATCATTATAAATATACTAATAGCAGTTATTAATACAATCAGCGCTTTAAATCTTGAACTTATTTTCGTGATTTTTTCTTTTCTTAATACCTTTTCCATTTCTTGATAATGATTATCCACATCAACGTGGATCATAGTATCTGTGACATTGTCCATTAAAATTATGAAAATGTTCAATAAAGATTTGTAATTGTTCAAAAATTTAACAAAAAAAAATTAAAAAAAAAATTTAAAAAAACAATAAAAATTGTATAATTTTTATAAAAAAAAGAAATTAATTTTAATAGAAAAAAAAACCATAAAATAATAATTTAAAATCATTTGAACAAAACCTAGCTACACGTTTCAAATAAAATCACGAATTTGAAGAAACCCCGAATTGAAAAAGGAACTAAAAGGACTGAAAATTGCCAGTCTTAAGATGGGATTCCTTAAGGTTATCAAGAACAGA